GTACCCATCCTAGGAAAGCTTTCCAGGTTTTCAAAGGGAATTGGGTATTGTAATCTAGGGTTACAACCTAGTATATGCTGTGTAGTATATTCACAACATATACTACCTGGATACCACTGCTGATTATTCAGAGCTCTAGGGCTCTTTAGTCAGTAGGTGATGAATCCTGCCGGGACTGAGTCCCTCCCTTCAAGGCAGCAGGTTCTCTTCTGGCCCAGAGTATGTTTGGAAATGTCATCTAGGACCTAAGGCCTGGAGTGGGGGCTTCACAACCTCTGCCTGGTATCCTATCCTCCTGTGACTTGAGCTGGTAACCACGTTGCAAGACGAAGTCCTCTTTACTCTCCTTTTCCACTCCGCAAGTAAGAAGTCTCTTTCACAGCTGTGAGCTGTGCTGCCCAGGGTGAGGAGAAGGGTGGATCAACAACTCCCTTAGATGTCCTGGCTGGTGTCTCACTAGGTTGCATGCCTCCCAGGTCCACTGGCTCTGAGCCCAGCACAGCAGCAGGACTTGCTTAGAAGCTGCAGTCCCTGTGGCTTACATTGCCTTTCAACTTTGTTTAGGACCCCAGAGTCCTTTAGCCTGTGGAGGCAAGGCTTGCTCAAACTCAAGTTTTGACTGCTGGATGGGTGATTCCCTCTAGTGCTGGTCTGAGTGCTCCCTCTGTGGGTGTCAGCTGAGTTCTGCCCTGAATTGCTTTCTGCCGTGATAGGGAAGCACTGGGTGCCAATGCGAAGTTCCACAATGGCCATGCTCTCCCTCTCCCAAGAGCACAGATTCTCTCTTGGCACCAATCTCTTGGCCAGGAGATTGGGGAGGGGTGGTGGTGGCAATTTGAGACTATCTTTCCTACCCTCTTCTGTGTCTTTTTCAGTGATATGAAGTTAAAACCAGGTACTTTGCTCACCTGATTTTTAGTTCTTATAAAGGTGCTTTGTAATATAGATAGTTGTTAAATTGGTATTCCCACATGGAGGATGATCAGCGGAGGCTTCCAATCAGCCACCTTGCTCTGTCCCCACCACTTGGTTTATGTATTCAAGGGAAAGCAGGTGAGAGCTCTGATGCCATCTTCCTTTCAAAGCTCAACGTGTTGACTATCAAACTTAAGTTTGTAAACTGGTGCTTTGAGCCCTGGTCATGTGGCTGGCTTTTCATAGTCAGTAAGGCACTTTGACTTCCTAGCTATGGTTCTTCTACTATATGTATGCTTAATAGCCATTCCAACTCCTGAGTTTAAGTGGCTCTTCTGCCTCAGCATCCAGAGTAACTAGTACAAGTATGAACCACCATGCCTGAATCGTTCTTTTTTTTTTCTTTGTCTTAAATTTTTTTGTAGAAACAGGGTCTCATTATGTTGCCTAGGCTGGTCTTGAACTCCAGGGCTCAAGTGATCCTTCTGCCTCAGTCTCCCAAAGCACTAGGATTACAGGTGTGTGCCACCGGGCCTGGCCTAAGGGGACCTTTGATTAATGCTTGGCTTGCATCGAACTGGGATGTAAGTGAGAAATAAACTTTTATTTTGTTAGGTCATTGAGATGTTGAGGTTTTTACAACATTTTAGCCTAGCCTGAGTCAAAAGATCTGCTTTGGGAGTTGAAGGTTGACCATCCTCACAGCCTGACAATCTGCTGTGCCCATCTCCCCAGGAAAGACAGGCTGCTGCACGGCCCGGATGATTACCTCCACAGCTGCTGGTACTCACCTTCCTGAAGAAGGCCTGGCTGGGCAAGGCGGTATTTGGGTTTTAGGCTTCTTTTTTCCTCTGCTTCCTTGGCTGATATTTTAATTGATAGAGTTGTCTTATTCACTAGACAGAGAGATTCTTCCTAACCCGAGGTTGCCAAAATACGACAAACTTGGGGAAAAAGTTACGACTCTGGAAGGCATGATAAAAGGGTAATTTTCTTAATTTACAAAAGGATCTTATAAGTCAACAAGAAAAATATAGATAAGTTGATTCAAATCAAAGGGGAAAAAAGAAATACAAATAGCAGATTAGACTAATGAATCCTCAACCTCTGATATGGTTTGGATTTGTGTCCTTACTCAATCTTATGTTCAGTTGTCATCCTCAGTGTTGGAGTTGGGGCCTGGTAGGAGGTGATTGGATCATGGGGGCATTTCTCATGGTTTAATACCATTCCCCTTGGTGCTGTCATCATGAGAGCGAGTTCTGGCTGTTTAAAAGCATGTGGAACCTCCCCCGTCTCTCTGGGTCCTGCTTCTCCCTTTGCTCCAGCTTTGCTTTCCACCATGAGTAAAAGCTCCCTGAGGTCTCCCAGAAGCAGAATCCACCATTCTTCCTGCACAGCCTGCAGATCCATGAGCCAATTATACCTTTTCTCTTTACAAATAACTTAGTTTCAGGTATTTCATTATAGCAGTGCAAGGACGGACTAATACAACCTCTCATTACCATTCTACAAATGAAGATGCTGGGCTGAAAATATACCCATTACTGATAAGGGATTTCCCTGCTCTCCTAAAGGCACCCTCAACCTCAGCATTGGTGAAGCTGCAAACAGGGTAGCCTATGATAGGTAATGGCTGGTGAAAACAGCAAAGACTTGGCAGCACTCACCATGGTAAAGGTCCTTATTTGATTTCTATCCCCATCATTTTGCACATGAGGACTTGGAAACATGGAAAGTTCAAGTTATCCATCTATTTAGGTAACTATTTCCTCTTTGATGTCCCACAAATACCTCCCACTCACTGTACACAACAGGCTCATCAGTTGTTTCCCCAGACTGTCTTCTTCTACTGAATTCTTAATCTCTGAGAATGGTACTCCCACCCCACCCCAGACTTTGATGCCACAGAGCTGGGAGGCCCCGTGGGCTCCTCCTCTCCCTCTGGTTCAGTGTTCTGTCATCACTACCTCTTGTTAATTCTGTCCCCTGACCATCTCCCCTAACCACATCTCTCCTAACACCCATCCTTGCTGTTCTCCGAGGAGCCAGAGTGGCCTTCCTAGCACCCAAATCTAATCATGCCACACTGCTGTTCAGAATTCTGAGGTATCTTCACATTCAGTAGAGATAATATGCGTGTTGATCTGACCTCTGCCCACCTGTTCTGCCTCAGCTCCCACCACCTGCTGCATGACAGGTACATCCTAATACAGCTGGATTGCTGGTGGTTGCCCAAACCTGCCACACTCTCTCGTTCCTTCCATTTTTTTAGGCTATTGCACATGCTACTCCATTTGCCCAGAATCCTCTCCTCTACCCATCTCCAAACCCATCCTTATGTTCAAGTTTCAGTGCTAAAGCTCCCTCTTCTGAAAACAGCACTATCCTGAGACTCAGCTGCTCTTTTGCCTCGCTTCCTCTGCATCTTGACCTTGCTTCTCCTCCGGCATTATCTTCTAGACTTGCAGGGGAGGTGTCAGTCTTCTGGGGAGTCGGTGAACTGGATGGAATGGAAGCTTCTTCTAAACGTTTAATTCCCAGCGCCAATCTAGCACAAAGCCTGGTGAATGATTAACAACTATGTGGTGAAGGAAACAGACGATTAATCAATAAGACATTTGCCCTGTCTGGGAGCTCACCTACAGTCAGGCAATGATGGCTTTACAAGCCCCTCACTGCGACAGCAGGCTTGTGGGCAGGAAGGTCTCTGACCCTCCTCTGGAGTCGGGAGAAGCAAAGAGGGTCAGTTCCAAGTGTATGCACATCACATTCACCACACAATGCTTAAAAAACAAATCCCTTAGTCTCAGCTGCCAAGCATGATGTAAATGTATGGGGACTGAGGGACTAATTCTGCTGGCCTGAAGTTTTTTTCTGGGTGGGGAGAGATTCAGGCCCTGTTTTGTCTTTCACTTTTCACAAGGAACAGCCAAAGGGCGCCTGGCTCCTCTGGTTCTCCATCCCTCCCAGAGTCTCTTCCCACACTCTGGAGTGGGCCTCTTCCCCAGGGGGTGGCCAGGCCAGATTTGGGAGGTGGCCCAGTGGTTGGCCTCCTTAAACTTTCCTAGGACTGTGCCACAGTTTATGCGACAAACTTTTGAAAAAACAGAACAACAACAAAATCTTGAAAGACTGCAAACCTTAATTTGTGTAAGAAAATCCACTGTTAACCCAATAGCTTATTTGAATGGAGCTGTTAAATGTCAACAAAGCGGAACATTAGTTAAGGCGTGAAAACAGATTTTACTAAGTAACTACTTATAGTAGGAGAAAAAGCTGATCATTCTCCTTTGTGCAGAGGAGACTGGGCGTTTTAAAGGATGAAGGAGAGAGTAGGGCGGGGAAGCCAGCGGGGGCTCAAGTGAAAAATCACGAAGGGGTGGTCAGTATCGATGAGCGGGCAGCTGTGCCTGCAGCTAGCGGTTATGAAGCTGGGATTCTATCCTCCCACAGAGACTGGGGGACAGAGAGGCCTGTCCTCCCCATGATTGCATTTCAAAGCAATGGCTTTCAGGTCCTTGAGAAAGACGCTTCTGAGCTGTAGGCGATACATACACATCTCACAGCAGCAGAGAAACGATTCACAGTTGTAAGCCCTTTTAAGAAAATATCCTGAAAAAGGGAGGTCAGGCGCCTTACCAGCGGGTGTTGGCTAGAATAAACGGGAAATTCTCATGGCTGCCTTGAGCTTTCTCAGGAAGACATTTTACTGGGGTCGAGGTTAAGGGGCAGCGGAGGGTGGGGGACCTTGAGTCATGCTCCTATAAGTCACACTAGAGTTCCTCGTGTCTGAGTGCAGAGGCTTAGACTGAGTCTTTATGTGCAGAAAGTCTTGCAGTTCTCACAGCGGCCTGCCAGAAAAAGTGGTCCCCAAATGTTTGGGAGTTCTCCATTCTGCACCCCACCTTCACGTTCTGGGGTGCTCTGGTCGAGCGACGAAGCGCGCAGTATTAGCAGGGAAGGGGACGGCGGAGTGCGGGCGCGGAAGGTCGCGTGGCACGCCTTGCAGGGCGGGGACGAGGAGGAGTAAAGCGGCACTGACCACCCCAGAGGCCGCCCACTTCGCTCGCAGGCTTTGGGGTCCCCGGCCGCTCTCTGCCTGTCTCCCCCGTTACCGCCAGGCTTTGTCGCCGCCTTAAGGCATGCCCGCTCTCCGCGGACCGGCCCTGCCTGTAGGCGGCGCCAGGGCGAGACGGCCCGAGGCTGGGCCGACGCTGACTCCTCCCGCCCGCGAGGATCCTTAAGCGCCTCCTCGGCCTCCCAGCTCCGGTAGCGCCGGGTGTGTGCGCAGGTCCGCGGCTGCCCTCGCTCTGCCACGGGCGCCTCCGCCTCCTCCATGCAGGCCAGCCTCGGCTTCCTCGCGCAGCGCCGGCCCGGGTGGCTCGGGGTCGCCGCGCTGGCGCTGGCCGCCGTGGTGCTGGGGGCTGTCGTCTGGCGTCGCGCAGGGCCCAGGCGGCGCCGGCGGCTGCAGCAGGTGGGCACCGTGGCGAAGCTCTGGATCTACCCGGTGAAATCCTGCAAGGGGGTGGCGGTGAGCGAGGCGGAGTGCACGGCCCTGGGGCTGCGCAGCGGGAACCTGCGGGACAGGTACGGAGCGCGGGCGCGGGGCGGCGCGGAGCCTGCCCGGGATGAGGAGGGGAGGGAGGTGGGGCCCGACCTGTCCGGGAAGGAGCACAGGGGTTTGCCACCTGGGTTTCTGGGCTGACTGTTGGACCGTTGGTGGTTTGGCTGGGAAGGTCAAGCTCATGTCAGATTTATTTGTTGGAAAAGTATGTAGGGGCGATTCCTTGCCCTTCCCTAGGTGAGAGATTTCTCCTCTGTAATGGGAGGGCGTCTGAACTGTGTCTCCAAGGCTCCGTAGCTCTGAAGTTTGTGATTCTATCCTAGTTTACAAAAGAAAAATAAATGCTATTGGCACTAGAAAGCAGCAAGAAAGACGCCAAGTGTGGTTCAAGGACATTGGCTCAGGCCTTGCTGGGCCTTGTTCCTCACATTTCTCCAATCCTGGGGGTGCTGGGGAAGCCTGATACACTTTGACAAAGGATGAGCAAGTGGCATGGGGACTCGGGGGCAGGGGTGTGATACTTGCCATTAAGGGAATAGTGTCCCCTCTTCTCCCACAGGAAAAGTTGTTCACAGCCTGGAACTTTGGGACTTTTGGGTTTGACGCATAAACATTTCATACTTAAGATTATGATACTTTTTTTTTTTTGAGACAGAGTTACACTTTGTGGCCCAGGATGGAGTGCAGTGGCATGATCTCCGCTCACTGCAACCTCTGCCTCCCAGGTTCAAGCAATTCTCCTGCCTTGGCCCTAGCTGGGACTAGAGGTGCATGCCACCACACCCGGCTAATTTTTGCATTTTTAGTAGAAACGGGGTTTCACCATGTTGACCAGGCTGCTCTCGAACTCCTGACCTCAGGTGATCCACCTGTCTCGGCCTCCCAAAGTGCTGAGATTACAGGCATGAGCCACCACGCCTGGCCAAGATGCCTTCTTATCTGGCCAAGATGATGGTTTAGCTGTGGCCCTGTGTCCTAGGGGAGGGAGGTTTGCAAGTTTATCATACAAGGAGTCCTCTAGCAGAGAGCCACCTGCATCCTTGTGTTCACTCCAGGACTCGAGAATGCACTGTTTTTTGAAGACTACTGCTGTCTTAAAGAAATGTGGGCTATCAGCCAGGCGAGGTGGCTCATGCCTGTAATCACAGCACTGTGGGAGGCTGAGGCGGGCAGATCACCTGAGGTGGGAGTTCAAGACCAGCCTGACCAACATGGGAGAACCCCGTCTCTACTAAAAATACAAAATTAGCTGGGTGTGGTGGTGCATGCCTGTAACCCCAGCTACTCGGGAGGCTGAGGCAGCAGAATTGCTTGAACCCTGGAGGCGGAGGTTGCAGTGAGCTGAGATTGCACCATTGTACTCCAGCCTGGGCAACAAGAGCCAAACTCCATCTCAAGAAAGAAAAAGAAATGTGGGATTCCATAGTATTGGAAAACTTCATGAGTCTTAGGGAAGTGTTGTACACACAGACCGTATGAATCATGGTAGGATTTTCAATCTCCCACCCCAGATTTTTAATCCTGGAAGCTTCTGAGATTCCCATCCAGGACTACTGAAGCAGAATCACCAAGAGTGGGACCAACTTGCATAGAGTGTTTAATTTCCCCCTGGTGATTTTGATGCTATAACTAGAGGGTTTTATCTGAGACCATGAAGAAGAAGAGATGTTTAGAGCTTATTCAAATCTGAAGCATAAGAAAAGCCTTCCTATTGCTGGAAAGACTATAGGTTCTGTGGAGCTGGACACCTTCCAAAAAACTGGGAGAACCGAATTCTCACGATACATGTCCAAGGAAAATTAGTGTTTCCGACTAGGTTGCATTACTTCCCTCCTCACTTGAAGGATTGGTTACACGGACAGATTTCCAGGTCGAATCTGCATGTCCTCTGATCTCCTGAAGAACGATTTCTTTCCCACTTCTCTTGTCACTGCTTTGCCGTGACTATTACAACCGTGAAAGAAAATATGTGTCCTTTACTTTTTGCTCTCATTGACATCCTAAAATAAATACAACTCTGTTACCTTTTCCTTGTTTTAAACAATAAATGCCTAGGATGGGGTGGGGTGATGTGAAGCCTGGGGTGGAGGGAAAGGCCATGAAATTAATGTTAATTCAGTGTTAAAATGCAGCAGACGCTGAGTCCTGTTGCATAGATTAGCATATTTAAGCCTCATAACAATCTTGTGGGCTAGATATTATTATCACCATTTTGCAAATAAGGAAACAGTATCAGAAAGAATGAGTATCTCATCCAAGGCCAGAAAACCAATGTATACTGTGGAGATTTGAACTTAGATCTGTGTGAGCACAGCATTTATGCTGTTTGTATGAAACTGGTGCATGATATAAAAGTATAAGGATTGCACTGAGGATCAGGAGACTGGGCAAACTTTTACAAAGTTTTCTCATTTGCAAAAGAATGAGGTTGAACTTGATGGTCTCTAAAACCCCATTTTAACTAATTTTTATTTGTCAAAGGATAGCTAACAATTTGAAAGCAGGCTTGCTGGAGAGAACCGTTTAATGGCGGCTGTTCTCTCAACCTGACAATATAATAACACTACCACAAATGCTCCTGGAGTTCAGGGAAAGGTCTTATTTAATGAATTCCATTCTGAACCTGTGTCTTTGGAACTAACTGTTCAAAGAAGCTGGGATTTTCCTCTGGAAGCATTGTGGGTCTCAAATTTCTAGAGGAATGTTGTTCAAAGCTCTTAGTATACTTGTGAACACTTGGCTGGAGCACGCTAAGCGTTGAGTGTTTGAAGTCCACCTAGCAGAATGCTGGCATTGGCTGCCTGGTGCAGTTCCTGGGAGGACGTGCTTGTCCTCGCTGACCTTGGAAATCTCGGCTCTCCTTAGCAGCCATATGTGAGCTGACCAGTTATATCTGTCCAAACCCTTACTGAAGCCAGCCCTTTATTTCTTCTGCACAAATGATTAACTGTTAGAGACAGGAATCCCTTAAGTTTATTATTATCCAGGGTGTTTTCCCTGCCCAGTTCCTGCTGTTTTCTCATTCCACTGTCAGTGGTAGTGTTCTTGTTTTTCCTCACTTTCAGTCCTTCCTGCTCCCCAGGCCAGTTTGTAATTCAGAAATGAGATTTTTCTGTTGTTTTGGGCTCCACTTACCTGTTGCTGTTAGTCATTCAGAGCACTGTAGCTGTTTTGGGGAATCCGGGCTCCAGGCTTTCAGACTGATCCCTCTACCACGTACTCATGTTTTAACTGTAAATTCAAGGTGCCAGGTTTTAGTGTTGTAGACGAGGTTGGGGTTCTACACTCCAGACTTATCTCTTCTTTTGGATCTGGCAGAATAAAACTAGTTATTTATTCACGGGACATCATTTTGTGCACGAGAGGTGAAAAATACTATTGCCCAGGTTGACAGGGAAATGAGATGGTTGGGGTATGTCACAAATGACAACCTTTTAACCTGTGATTGCTGTCTTTCTCCCGTCCCCAATTGGACTTCCTGCAAGTTGCCACTTGCTTTTGCAGTGACTGATGAGTGGGAAACCTCTAGTGATCACTTCCCTCTGTTAACCCCAGCAGTGTAACTCCTGTGTTGTTATACAGTAGGCTGGAGCCACGAGCCAGGCTGTGAGACTCGGTGAAGGGCAACATTAGGAAGGGATGAATGGGAGATGAAAAGATTCAGCCCAGGGAGGGGCTGTCAGAAGTGATGTGCAAACAGGTTTGCCACTCCTGTTTGGACATGGCTCTGGTTGTGTGCAGATCTCAAAGGGAGTCTTGTCTGGGGATGGGGAATGCTGGGAGTTAAGAGTGAAGGCTTTGGTGACGTTAACCAAAGAACTCTGCACCAAGGGACAAGGCTAGAAATAGGGAATAGGGCCTAGCTCTATTAGGCATCTAAATCAGAGGATGCCTGCCTCTTTCATTTCATTTCATTCTCTGGGCAGACATCCTCTGATTTATAGAACCCAGCTCCAGGATGAGAGAGCCAGAGAACTGTGGGCATCTTGGACCAGGCAGGATGGCTCACATCTGCAATCTCAGTATTTTGAAAGGCCAAGGAGGAAGGATCAATTGAGCCAGGAGTTCCAGACCAGCTTGGGTAACACAGTGGGACTCCATCTCTACAAAAAAATTAAAAAATGAGCTGGGCTTGGTGGTATGTGCCTGTAGTCCCAGCTACTCAAGAGACCGAGGCAGGAGGATTGCTTGAACCTAGCAGTTCAAGGCTGCTATGAGCTAAGATCATGCCCCTGCACTCTAAAGCCTGGGTAATGGAGTGAGATGCTGTCTCTCTCGCTCTTGAAATTAATTAATTAAATATAAATTATCTAAATGAATGAATAACACACATATGCATATATACACTTAGAAAGGAAAAGATGGTCTCCTCAGAGGGGTGGGGACTTGCTGCTGCCCTGTGTCACCAGCTTTTTGGAAGGAGGTAGGCAAGACAGTTACTGAAATGCATTTACACTGCCACACCATCATAATGCCAGTTAGCAGGGCTAACAGCCTTTGTCTTCTGGTGTGGTGGCAGGGAAGGGACAGTTTAGCCAGCACCTGGAAAGGACTCTACCGATAAGGAGGTTGCAGATACAAGACTGCCTGCCAGGGTCAGGACAGGGGAGAGAAGGAGCTCCTTGTGCTCTGATATTGGATGTCCTCCTGAGGTCTCCTCAGGCTTTCCCTGCTGGCTTTGGCCACAGTTTGGAAAATCTCCCTGGGAGGAGCCACCCCTCCTTCTGGAAGGAGCTGTGCTTTTTATCCTCCTCACATTTGGAAAGCCTCTGGCTTTTAGGTGTTTTTCACTCATCAGTGCCTGCAGTTCCTCACCCACTTGTCTGCAGATTCTATCTTCTTTCTAAAATAGTGACATTGGGCTGGGCACAGTGGCTCACGCCTGTAATCCCGGTACTTTGGGAGGCCGAGGCGGGTAGATTACTTGAGGCCAGGAGTTCAAGACCAGCCCAGCCAATATAGCAAAACCCTAACACTACAAAATTAAAATACAAAAATTAACCTGTTGTGGTGGTACATGCCTATAATCCTAGCTACCAGGAGGCTGAGGCAAGAGAATCGCTTGAACCCAGGAGGTGGAGGTTGCAGTGAGCTGAGATTGTGCCACTGTACTCCAGCCTGGCTGACAGAGCAAGACTGTCTCAAAAGAAACAAAACAACTAAATAAAACTAAACTAAAAAGTGATATTGAAATTTATTTTCCCTAGGAGTGGAAGATTTTTTCTTTTGGCAACCCAGTCTTTTACGTGGCGCAGTCCCAACCTCTATGCTAGGCTGTAGGTGAAAGCCTAGCTAGCTGGGCCTGGCCAGCTTTCCCTCACTCTTCAGCTCATCCCGTAGAAATACAAAGTGAAAACCAAGTCCAGCACAGTGGTGGGCTCTCTAGGAGATAAGTGGGATTCTTATCTAACATGTGACGTCTGTGAGTCTTTGTTCTCCGTGTCAGAATGTGTGCATGAAGAGGAAATGCCATTCGGGAGGTTTCCTGATGTAGGGCCTGCACGCCACAGCAAGTTAAACAGAGCAGAGGCCGGCCTGGGTCCTCTTGGAGGCAGCAGCATTGCAAGACGTTTGTCTCAGGCCCCAGTTCACTTGGCCAACCTCATCTTGTTCTACAACAAAAGGACCTGAAAGCAATTTTACGGTTCCCAGAGCCACAGAGACATATTCACAGACCTACAGAAGCTTCTAACCAAAGCAGAGCCTGCAGACAAGTGGCAGGGTCGCCTTAGCAGTGAAGGAAAGTCTCTGAGCCAGGCTCACGTTCTGGTGTTTGCAACTAGAGATTTCCAAACATTGGCCAGACTCTCTCCCAGAACTGTTTCTGCCAAATAAGCTCGTTTTGGGGTCACCAACTTTTAGACCCAAATCGTTTGACTGGACTGGAATACTTATCTAGAAAGTAATTGTTGGGTCCCAAGTCAGGGCGGGTGGAGAGTTAGGAGGAAGTAGAAAGCTGGAGGGAAGCTGCTGGGTGGATGGAAGGGGATTTTCTGAGTGGGCCCTGGTTTGTTTCTCTGCAGGTTTTGGCTGGTGATTAAGGAAGATGGACACATGGTCACTGCCCGGCAGGAGCCTCGCCTCGTGCTGGTCTCCATCACGTGTGAGAACAACCGCCTGATCTTCAGGGCTCCGGACGTGGACCAGCTGGTTTTGCCTATCAAGCAGCCTTCCTCAAACAAACTCCACGACTGCAGGTGCTCTGCTTAGGGACATCCAGGGAACTGCAACAGGCTTGATTTCCCTTCAGGCTCCTCCCTGCATTCTGTCTTGCTATAGTTTCTACAGTAGAGGATGGCATTGGTAAAGGAAATGTTTAAGAGAAGTGCAGTTTGGGTTGGGATCAGGCATGAGTGGATGAGTCAGGGTGTTGTTTTAAGGGTACCCGGGATTTGTTTCATTCCGGTGTGGTTAGACATGCAGACACAGAAATGACTGTCCTGAAAAAAGATGTTTATACCAGCAGATTCCCTAGAAACTGGAGGCACGCCCTGCCACACAAGTCCAGGTGGGGAAGCACCAGGGTGGGTCAGGAGGCAGAGGGAGCGGGGAAAATGTGGGCAAGGGCCTTTATTGTGCTTTCCACAGGAAAGGAGAAGCAGGGCAGGGGTGGCAGGCTTAGGGATGGCTAGTTTGAATAATTTCAGTGGGTCTGGGCCACATGTTTTCTGGTACTTGGTCCTGGGGTTGACTAGGGCAGGGGACTAGTGGCCCGGCATGTGAGCACCCAATAAAGGAGGCGACTGGGAGTGTGGGCTCTGCATGGGCCGGTGTTCCTATTACAGGCACACTGGCAGGTCATCAGTCTATTATTTCTAGGAATTGGTCAGCTCTGGGAAAAGTAGTTTCCTCAGTGTCCACATGGCTCCAAGATGTCAAAGCATAAAAAATGCAGAAGATTGAAAGCATGATTACTGCAAGTATAAAGGTGGTGCAATGCGTTCATCTTTAGGGGTTTTCTCCTTTCGTTCAAATCTTTATTCAGAATTGTCAGCCCTCCAACCAGGAGTTAGTGGAGACGTTAGCAGCTGAATCTCACGGCTGGGTGAGAAGGATGCTGGAGCTTCCAGAGCTTTTCAGGTTGACTCTGCAGCCTCTGAAGTGCATGACTGAGATGAAAGCACATTCCTTGGGTGTATGGGATTTCCACTTCTGGCCAAAGACACACCTCAGGCCTTGGCTTCCTTTTGGCCTTTGGGACTGTGTTGTTGAGTTCCATGGTTTGCCTGGGTCTTGTCCTTCCACATTAGGAGGACTTAGCTGCTTGTCGAGGGTTGATCTGGACCCCTTGTCAAGCTTTTGGGACCTTGGACAACACTAATTTCCACACACCTCAAAACCTGAGTGTTTGAAAAACGTGTGTGGAAGTTGGTGTTGTCCAAGGTCCAGGGCTCGGAGGAGAGCCTCAGAGTTACTCCCTAAACTCTCATCTCTTGGTTTTCCAAGCAAAGTGTCTAAGCTGAAATCCACCACTCATGGTTCCCAATTTTCAAAAGTCTGAAGCAATAATTGCTGAATTCAGTATTTCCAGTAATTATTTAGCAAGCCCATGTGGGGGGTTTCATTAATTCCACTTTATACATGAGGAAACCAGGCCTTAGATCACTGCCACGAAAATGCAGAGCTGGGATTTGAACCCACATGCCTCCTAAGGCTTTTGCTTTTAACATGTATGTGTAGGGAAAAGAAAAGCTTTTTCATAAATGACAGGTTTTGAGCCCATCAATTCATTGCAGAGGAAGAGTGTAGCCATCTCAGCTTGACTGGAAGACATGTGAAGCCCATCGGTAAATACATAGCTGACAAGTGTCACATGAGTAATATGGATGTTGGCTTGTAGACTCACTGTGTCGCCAACAGCGAGCAAGTTTTTCCCCAAGGCTCTTTACCAGCTAAACAGGCAGAAATCTAGGGACACACTCACTTTCCTGGATGGAAAGAGGGAAAGCGAAAGCCCTTGTAGGGGAGTTGCCTAGGTCTGACAAAGACACCAAGTGCAGCCTGTTCTTTTTTAATTAATTTATTTTTTGAGAGAGAGTTTTGCTCTTGTCACCCAGGCTGGTGTGCAATGGTACAATCTCAGCTCACTGCAACCTCCGCCTCCCAGGTTCAAACGATTCTCCTGCCCCAGCCTCCTGAGTAGCTGGGATTACAGGCATGCACTATCACGCCCAGCTAATTTTGTATTTTTAGTAGAGATGGGGTTTCACCATGTTGGCCAGGCCGATTTCGAACTCCTGACTTCAGGTGATCCACCTGCCTCTGCCTCCCAAACTGCGGGGATTCCAGGTGTGAGCCACCACTCCCAGCCTGCATGCCATTCTGTTCCATGCATCAAGCGTAGATCTGGATGAGGTGGGAATAGAGAGCCCGGTCTCCTGGCAGTTTGGTGAAAATTACCAAGACCTTTGAATTTGGATTGACACAGAGGTGTAATCAGTGCACTGCCCTCTCCAGCAGGTTAGACATGCTGTACCTAGTTCAGCCTGTATTTATAAGCTATGTTTAATGGATTGGTTGCCAAGGGAACTGCTAAAACTGGAGAAATGATATAAATTAGTGTGTTTAGTTAGTGCCAGCTGCTGTGACAAAACACCATAGTCTAGGTGGCTTAAACAGCAGACATTTATTTCTTATAGTTTGGGAGGATGGGAAGTCCAAGATCAAGTTGCTGGTAGATTGGTGAGGTCCCTTTTCAGGGTTGTAAGTGGCCACTTCTCATATGTCTTCACATGACCTTTCCTGGTGCCTGCATGAAGAGAGAGAGCGTCTGTGTGGTTCTTCCTCTTCTCATAAGGGTGCCAATCCCAGCATGAGGGCCCCACCTCATCTAGACCTAATTACCTCTCAAAGACCCCACATTGGGGGTGAGGGTGTCAACACAGGAATTTTGGAGAGATACAAACATTTAACCCCTAAGAGATGGTGAGTGACAGAGTGATTACCATAGCCAGCCCATCAGAGCTCAAAATCAAATAACATAAACCAACAACCTCAAGTTAGAAAAAAGAAAAAGAAGTCCCTCAACAGCCATTTGAACAAGGCTGAAGTGTCATGAGTTTTATATTATTCTATACTTATTTTATTTTTAAACTTTCATTGTTAGTGTTTTGGATCAGCTTTCCCTGTTCACCATGTGTGGTGTTAATTTTTTTTAAAATTATAGACTGGTATAGATTTTTTATTGTTGCAAGGTTTTATGAATCATTCTTTTTTTTGAAATGGAGTTTTGCTCTTGTTGCCCAGGCTGGAGTGCGATGGTGCCATCTCAGCTCACTGCAACCTCTGCTTCCTGGGTTCAAGCCATTTTCTTGCCTCAGCCTCCTGAGTAGCTGGGACTACAGGCATGTACCACCATACCCAGCTAATTTTTGTATTTTAGTAGAGATGGGGTTTTGCCATGTTGGCCAGGCTGGTCTTGAACTCCTGACCTCAAGGGATCTGCCTGCCTCGGCCTCATGAAGTTCTGGGATTATAGGCATGAGCCACTGCACCTGGCCTGATTATTGTCTTAAAAGATGCAGCTAATGTTTTAAAGTAGGGGAAAATAAGAAATGACTTCAACCCTACATTGAATTTGTGGCTCAATTTAGAGAAAATTGATGTGAAAATATGTGTGCGTGTGTGTCTGTGAGTGTGTGTATTAAATAAGGCACTTGGAAGAGAACCTGGTACACAGTAGGCACTTACCTAGATATTAGTTCTTAAATAGCTATTATCTTTATTGTATTAATCTACCCTATCTTTGAATATTATTTTCTCCACTTATTTGCATCTTATTTTATCTCTTTAATAAAGTTTTATAATTTTATCTATAATGAAATTTTACGTTTTGTTAGATTTAGTTCTAAACATTTACTCTTTTCTTCCACCATTACATGGCAACTCTTAAAATCACTTTTTTGGTTTGCTGTGTAAGATTGGAATTATTTATTCTTTAAGCATTGGTAGAACTTGCCAGTCTTTGTAAGAGTCTATTCAAGTGTTTATGCCCTCTTCCCTAATTTTTAGTGAGTTACTTTTGCTTTGTGAGTTAGTAGATTGCTTAACAATGAAGTTTTATTGGATGCACAGAGCGAGGGTTGGCTTTTTCTATGGCGTGTTGCTGATGAGACACTTTGTTTTAAAATGTGGGAGAGAGTGGATTCTGCAGAAAATTCTGCAAGAATTGGAGAAGACATAATGGCAGAGGGAGAGCTACCGTTTGCTGCAGGGATGGGAGACAGGCCTGGCGGAGGGATCCTTTCACTGGGGGGAAGAGGCCCTGGTCAATCAGTATTCCCTTGCCCTGTTGGGGGCTTTCTACTTTTCAGAGTACCACCCATAAGCTTCCTCGGGTGGAGAACGCTGTGGGTAGCACGTGTGCACTTATGTACAAGTGCTGTTCTGAGGGGATGAGGTAAGAGTTCCATCCAGGAGCAGATACTTAGGGAACTGCCGAACAGCGGGATGGGATCAGTTTTAGGGGGAAGGCAGAAGGTCAGGAGAGGATCGTGAGATGTCCATAGAGCCAAGAGTTAATCAGAAGCAAAACAGTGGCTTCAAGAAGGAGGTTTAGAGAGAAAGAAAAGGCTCAATAACTGTGAAAGGAACAGCATTGAGATTTGACAGTAGACGGGAGAGGAGGTGAGAGGGTAGAGAGTCTCTACCCTCAGACCAGGATTATGAGCTGCAGGGTACACAGGGATTCATCTAAGTGGGAGCACTTCAGGTGTCCACACTGGATTCCTTCATGTGCATCACCTCAGGCGTCCTCACACTGGTGTGAGCCTTCCTACGGGGAGGGGCAACCCCTTCCCATGGTAGATGAGGGTAGGGGAATCAGTTTCCGATCCTCTGAATCATATCGATAATCGGCAAGTTCTCCTGTCCCACCATAAGCCTTTCCTCTTTGTACAAAGGAAAGGCTTTTGTCTGCCCACCCCACATCTTACTAGGGGCATTGCCCTTGGACGGACAAACATACAGGGTCCGAAACAATGAAAAATGCTAGTATGGATAAAGAGGGTGACATTAATGACGGGGAAATTTGCTGTTCAAGTCAGTGGTTCCAACTCATTGTCTTACATTAAGTCGAAGGGGCCTCCAATCAAATTGTTGCTAATAAATAATTAAAAGTACTTTTCGATGACAAATCACTATGTAACAAATATTGCCTAGAGGTTCAAAGAATAAGTGAAATTACTAAAACTCAACTTCCATTTCTATCTATTTATTTCTGTAAAAAATTCCGTAGGGCTTATTTAAAAGAAAGGAATAAAATTGATACTGAACCTCGTCTTATTCTGGCAATATATAAGATTCATTCAGAGTTTTATGGATACTCTACATGGTGCATTAAGCATTGAATTTCAAATAAAATCTCATTTTTTATGTTCAGTAATTATTAAGATATATAGCATAACTATTTTGTTATGGCCAATTGCATACAAATCATAACTGTAATAACTCAGTCCTGAAAACATTTCTTCACACTTGAAAGCTTAAGGAAAAAAACAAATTTAATTGGTTCAAAAGAAATACAGTAAGTGATCAATAGTCATAAAAGTGTATTAGGATGAAAGCTGGGTGTGGTAGCTCACGCCTGTAATCTTAGCACTTTGGGAGGCCAAGGTGGGCAGATCACCTTCAATTGGACATTTGAGACCACCCTGACCAACAAGGAGAAGCCCTGTCTCTACTAAAAATACCAAATTAGCTGAATGTGGTGGTTTAGGCCTATAATCCCAGCTACTCAGGAGGCTGAGGCAGGAGAATCACTTGAACCTGGGAGGCGGAGGTTGCAGTGAGCCGAGATCGTGCCATTGCACTCCAGCCTGGGCAACAAGAGTGAAACTCCATCTCAGTATATATATGTATATATAATTTATTTTATATATATTAACCATTTAAACATTTTTGTATTATCTTTTTATTTGTGAACACGTATATTATTTTACTTGTGAAATTTTAGCCTAATATATATTATAGATTTTATTTATATGTATTATACATTTATATTTTTAATATATTACATTTATTTTATATATATTTGTATATATTATTTATATACATTAGGATAAAATTACATAAGTAAAATAATATACATATGTGTTCACGAATAGAAAGAATAATACAAAAATATTTAAATGGATAATGGTGGATATCAAACCACATGGCGTTTAGATCCCATTACATACTTTTAAAAGCATAGTCATTTTATTTTAAATATCATTGTTTAGAATTCAATGGAAATTATCTTTCAGAACAAATTAAGCTTATGATGAAAAAGTTTACCTGTCAACTTATAGTTCTGTAAAGCTTTTTAAAACTCCTCTAGTGGAATTTAAGCAAGAAAACCTTGAGGGCCACTGTGTAATCTAAAGTTATCTGTTCCCACCAAGGAGCATAAGTAGGTACCATATTATTATCTCCAATTTACAACTGGAGACAGGTCAGCAGAGTTAAATGATTTGCTTATGGTCACCAAACTAGAGAATGGCAGAGTTCCAATTTGACCCAGGTCTGTTGGATTCTGAGCTCAGGGTGCATCTGCCACAGGGCAGCCCCTCTCCTCATGTGAAAGTGTCCTAAGTCCTTGCCACTCAAAGCATGGTTCATGGACCAGCAGCTTAGGCATCCAGAAGTTTGTTGGGAACACAGAATCTCAGACCCCAACCCAGACCTACTGAACCAGAGTCTGCGTTGAGACAAGATCCTGGAGGATTTGCATGTACATTAGGGTTTGGGTAGCCCTTCCCCAGCCACATTCTACTCCTATGTCCTGTGCTTCTGCCCAGCTTTGACCCAAGGACCACTTAGCCCTCTGGGATGGTCAGGTCCCAACAGTCCAGCTGTCCATCTTTGACACCATCCCTCAGTGTCTTGATATAAGTAAGTAACTTGGTGTTCTTTTGTGACCTTTCCAGAATATTTGGCCTTGACATTAAAGGCAGAGACTGTGGCAATGAGGCAGCTCAGTGGTTCACCAACTTCTTGAAAACAGAAGCGTACAGATTGGTTCAATATGAGACAAACATGAAGGGAAGAACATCAAAAAAACTTCTAGCTCCTATTAATTGGAATTACCAGGTGAGCTTACAGAGATTCACCTTCACTCCTACTGGTTACCCTTTTCTTTCTGGCTTCCTTCCTGGCCAGCAAAGAGCCTCTCTTGGGACCTCAGTTAAGAAAATATGATAATGGCCCCGGTGAGTGATAATTAGGGCACAGCCTGGCAGGCAGAGGTATTGGGGGATGGAGAAGAAAGTGGATATGAAAGATGCCTCAAGAGTAGGATCTCTAGGGTGTATGGAGGATTGAATATGGGAGAGATCGTGGAGTGGGGAGCCAGGGCTGACTGACAAGCAGATGGAGATTAAAGAGAAAACTGGTTGGAGAAACAAAGGTGAGAAGTTTGTTTGGGACTAAATGCAAGTTTCCTGGAATTACAGAAGCGGACTTTGTTCTGACCCTCCCCTCACAATCTATGAGGTGTGCTTATTTCAGGTGCTGGCAAGCTGCCTCCCCTAAGGAAAACTGCCCCCTGGGCCAAAGACCAAAGCCTCTGATTCTGCCATGAACTAAGGCTTAAAATACAAGGACCTCAGGGAGTTTCTCTGCATAGCCCCTAAATTACAAGCTCCTTGAGGGCAGGATTTTTATCTGCTTTCTTTAATGTTGTTTCCCTACCAGAAGAGTGCCTGGTAGGTGTTCAATAAATGCTTGTTGAGTGAATGGTGTGCTTGAGGAAATTATTGCTGCAGTATAGCTGATTGGCAGCAGGACCCCGCTGTTTGAGGATGATGTGGGGAAGGGGTCCTGCTGGAGTGGGAGTGGGGACCCAGGAAGAGGAAGCCTGGTGGGTGATACTGGCCCAGAGCCGTCCCTGGCTGCAGCCCTGTCCCTGTGTATGGGTGGGAACTGCTCCAGCTCCTGGCCACTTGCAAGCCATGTGTCTCTCCTTCCCGAACACTGCTCCCCTCTTCCGCAGTGAAGTGGGTTGGCTTCTGGACGTTACTTAGCTTTGCAGTTGGTCTAAGCCGTTTTGTGGAGTGGTGGGGACCTGACTTTCTCGTGTTCTTGGCAAGGTGGCTTACCCAGACTACAGTCCCCTCCTGGTCATGACGGACGCCTCGCTGGTAGATTTGAATACCAGGTTGGAGAAAAAAGTAAAAATGGAGAATTTCAGGCCAAATATCGTGGTGACGGGCTGTGATGCCTTTGAGGAGGTAAGAGACCCATGGCTTTTGTGCATTGTGCTCAGATGTGCTGTTCTCGGTGCTAAGGGAACTCTGCTCTAGCCAGCGCCAACTCAGATCCGCCAAGGTCAATAGCGGGGAAACTACTTCCTCAACTGCACCTTAACCTTGTGGAGTCCTTCACTCATTGCTGCTGACCTCAATTCACTGGCCTCAGGGGGGCGTTGCTCTCACCCTTTAATGCTTGAGCCCCAATGCAAACAGTTAAAACTCGAAATTGTAGAAAATGTGAGGTTGGAATGTACAATCATAGCTCAGAGATAACTGAGGGAAGTGAAGATAAAGAGAATCGCCATTTTCCACTTCTCCATCACTCAGCAGTGCTGTCAAAGATCTGAGACTTTTAGAAACCCCATGCTCCAGAGTGGAGGCCAAGAGCACACAGGTGCTGTGGCCTGTGTTCTCTCCCAGGGCATCCACATGCCCATTTGTGTGATTGACACCAGAAATTTCCCCCCTTTTCAAGGACATACCTTTGTGGTCTTAAGGGAAGACGACATTAGAACTCAGTAGAAACCCTGAACTCTGTACATGAAATACATATGGCTGTGTACTGCTTGGTAATAAGAAGCATTAGTCGTCATATTGAGCCTGAGGGGTGAGTTAAACTTTCTGAGCAGTGGGAGTAACAATGACGAATACCATTTATTGGGTGTTTACTGGATGCTAGGCATTGAGCTAAATAATCACTTCAGATAAATTACTTTATTTGATCTTTACAATAGCCCTGTGACATTTGTGTTATTGTCTCCTTTTTATAAGGAAAATGAAGCTCAGAGGTGTTGTACACTTTACCTGGCAGAGAAGTGGTGGTGCTGGCATTAGAACACAGGACTTGTAACTCCAGCATCTGCAGAGCTGGGGTGACAGTTCCAATTTAGAGATCCAAAGTCGTTCACTGTGGGAGGAGAGGCTCCTAAACACTCTTTCAATTCTTTGCTTCCCTGAATGACTGCACTTCCTTTTGTGTGAGTAAAATATGCCCTAATTTTTTTTTTTTGTGTGTGATGAAGTCTTGCTGTATCACCCAGGCTGGAGTGCAGTGGCACAATCTGGGCTCACTACAACCTCCACCTCTGGGGTTTATGTGATTCTCCTGCTTCAGCCTCCAGCGTAGCTGGGACTACAGGCACGTACCACCACACTTGGCTAATTTTTATATTTTTAGTAGAGGTAGGATTTCTCCATGTTGGCCAGGCCATTCTCAAACTCCTGACCTCAGGTGATCTACCTGCCTCAGCCTCCCAAAGTGCTCAGATTATAGGCATGAGCCACTATGCCCGGCCCCTAGTTTGTTGATAAACATTGTTCTTTAGGATAAAATTTTGCACAGAGCCTAGTATAAATTATCATACATGCAGGCACTTCATATTAGTTGATAATCTGAAAAATAGCAGCAAGGCTCAGTGGCTCATGCCTGTAGTCCCAGCACTTTTGGAGGCTGAGGCAGGAGGATTGCTTGAGCTCAGGAGTTTGAGACCAGGCTGGAAAACATGGCAAAACCCCAACTCTACTAAAAAAAATGTAAAAATTAGCCAGGTATGGTGGTGCATACCTATAGTCCCAGCTACTTGGGAGGCTGAGGAGGGAGGAAGGTTTGAGCCTGGGAGGCGGAGATTGTGCCACTGCACTCCAGCCTGGGTGACAGGGCAAGACCCTGTCTCATAAAAAAAAAAAATAAGAAAAGAGAAATAGCAATTTATACAGAAGTTGTCTACTTGACGATGTTATCTTGTCATTTGTTACCTATTTGAATTCCTCTGTGCCTTTGTTAATTTTTAAAAATCAGTCATCTGTTGTGGGCCAGGCATGGTGTATAGGAACTCGGATATAGAGATGAAAAGATCTGGATCCCGCCCTTTAGAATACGACAGCCCAGTGTCAGAAGTGCTTTAATGTACACATTTTGAAGTTACCAGAGTTGTGTAGAAGTAGAACTGCCTAAATCTGCCTGGAGAAGGGAAGCCTGGGCAGGAGAGGGGTCAGGTCCAGCTCCCCGGAAGTAATGCTATTCATCCTGTACTTGTGTGGACTGCGTGCCAGGGTCAAAGGTGGGTCATTATGGATAAAGGGGACAGGGGTTGGGAGGCCTAGAAGCATGAGAGGCCGTGAATGAAGGGGTGCTCGGGAGCATTTTTGAATCACAGGAGCATGGAGGTCAAGGAGAAATGTCAGGGAGGCTGGATTGGAGCTGGCTAGAGGCCATCACATCAAGGAGTTTGGATTTTATACTGTGAATATTGAGGAGCTGGTAATGATTCTGAGCAAGGAAGTAATTATGATTTGCATTCTCCCAACAAATATCTGCTGAATGCCTGTACAGTGTGCCAGGCACATATTCTGGCAACTCTCTTGAACATGCACTGAAAGGCAGGGAAGCCTGAGACAGAAATATCAAGGCAAGGCCCAATCACGAGAGAGTCTTTTTTTTTCTCTTTTTTCTTTTTTGAGACAAGGTCTCACCCGTCGCCCAGACTGGAATACGATGGTGCGGTCACAGCTCACTGCAGCCTTGAACTCCCCAGCTCAGGTGACTTTAGCCTCCCAGCTTCCTGAGTAGCGGGGACTACAGGCGTATGCCATCATGCCTGGCTAACTTTAGTATTTTTTTGTAGAGACAGGGTCTCCCTATGTTGCCCAGGCTGGTCTTGAACTCCTGGACTCTGCCTGCCTTGGCTTCCCAAAGTGCTGGGATTATAGGCATGAGCCACCTCACCTAGCTGAGTCTTTAAAGTGCAGATTAGCAGGCCTTACCTGAAACCTACATGAGCGCTGTGACGAAGCCTGCACCTCTGTGCTGGCAGCATCATCCCAGGTGAATTTTCTTCCCACAGTGTCTACAGAAGCACTGAGTTAGGAGGTGCAGGGACCAGGGGGGTCAGAGATGATCAGATGACACGAGAGTGGGGCTGGGAGGGCCATGGAGAGTGCCAGACAGGAAGAGGCTCCGGTGTGCTCAGGAGACCGGTTTCTTGAGGGAAGGAACTAGATTTTTCTAAGAATGAATCTAGACTTGGTAGGACCTGAAGTTTATACAATTTGGGGGCCCCTTTAGGAAAAAAAAGGTAACAAAAATAAAAGTAGGTTCAAGGACTTGAAAGGTTCTGTGTAAAGAAGGGGCCTGAGGCTCAAGCCTCACCGACTTCGCAGTAAACCCGCCTGCTCCTTCAGTTCTAGTTTCCCACGTTGTCTAGTAGGGTGTACATGAAATCGGATTCATTAAATGCTTGGTAAACACCAAATGAAATGAATGCTCTGTGTGAAGAATGTATGTTACTAAAGCTTGTGGTGGAAATTAGTTCTTGGGATGGAAATTAGTCTGTGAAGCAGCAGTTCCTCCACAGGAATCCTGTCATTCATCCATGATTTTCTGAGAAACTTGCTTTTAGGGAACAAAATTTTTCTTGATATGTCTCCACTAAAGAACACATTATTTTGGTATCAACTTTAAGATCTTGCGCCAAGAAAATAAGAAAAAAAGACACATTTATCCTCAGCTGAAGCATTTTTGCTTTCCTGTAACTTGCCAACCTATAATTTTTGCTTTCCTGTAACTTGTCAAACTGAACCTAAGGCTAAGGTAAATCTAATGCTGCTTCCCTAGGTGGTGAGAGAGGATTCTTCTTCTTCTTCTTTTTCTTTCTTTTTTTTTTTTTTTAATAATAAACTGAAAATAAAAATGCAAAAAAAAAAAAAAGGCCGCGCGTGGCCCAGAACTTTGGGAGGCCAAAGTGGGCGGGTTGTGTGAGTCCAGGAGTTTGAGACCAGCTTGGGCAACCTGGTGAAACCCCGTCTCTTAAATAAATAAATAAATGTGAAAATAAACTGTTAAATAAATTTGTGCTCCCAAGTCCATTTGTCATTGTATTCCTGCACTATGATGGACTTACAGAAACAGCAAATAAAGTAGAACACTCTAAGTTTGCTGGAACAGTCCTCTGGCCATCCACATTAAAAAAAAAAAAAATCCTTCCTATTAAATGATGCTAATGTTGCTCATTTATTCTGCCTTAAATCAGAAGCCCAGTAAAGGGCTAATGCATTAACCTGTCTGCCTGGAACCATCACAAAACTGTAACTCTTTAATTAGTAGGACTCTGTTAAATATTAATGTTATATTATAGAACCCATAAAAATTTACTAGACCAATTAATCATTAAAAAATAGCAAGCCTCAGTATGAAATTCAGGCCATTATTTATTGCAAAAACACAGAGCAAAGGCAGAATATATTGTGTAACATTTATACTGTTTGTGGCCTAAAGTACTTTGTACTTTTTCCATCTAGCTCAGAATTTTAAGCAATTTTTAAAAGGCTACTTCCTTGGGTCAGTGTGATGTGCTTGAGTTCTGGGAATGCAGCATGATGCAGTTTAAAAATAATACAATCGACCAATGCTTCCTGTCTCTGTAGTCGGCCATTGTGGGGTCAGTGTTTACTGAACTTTGCTTACTGTGCTGATGAGTTACACTCGATATTTTTAATGGAATGTCTTGTTTGTATCAGTCCTCACTGCACCTTATGAAAGAACTGTGGAGAAGCTTGCAGAAAACTCTTGGTGTGTTATCTTTCACTCAGGAAGTGCTTCTCCAGGAAACGTCCAGAGAGGGAGATTTTGAAGCTGGACAGCTGTGATTGGACTCTGAGCGTCACCGCCTACTGGCTGTGTGGATTGGGTCCTCCCTGTCCTACCCTTTCCAGCTGTTGAGAAACAAAGTTTTTATAAATTATGGTCACTAGATTTTTCAGTCCCCAGAACCTGGGTTTGGATGGGTTAGGATCTGAGATAGTAAGTCTCTTTTCTGGTGAAAGAACAGCAGTCTCTACCAGGCTTCAGGGATTTCTTGAAGTAGCAATAATGATAACAACCTATAAAGATAACAGCAAGAATCATGGCTTACTGCCATTGAACACTTACTAGGTTACAGGCAGCGTGCCAAACACTTTACATGCATTATCTCATTTAATTC